ATTGTGTTGCAAGTGCCGTAAAACTCTTACTAAAACTAAACTAAACTGTAATTTAAACTCAATATTTCAACTGTTTAGTAGGCCTACAGTCGACGGCCTACAGGTAACTTCACTATGGATGAGTTGATGTCATCGGGGGAGGGAAAAAAAAGATGAACTCTTCTTAAAAAAATCAACTCGACAGTTGGGATTCTGTAAAGAAGAAGAGGTGCTGGGACCCGGGAAAAAAGATCAACTGAATTGAAGATCAACTTCAGCGAGTTCAGTACATGTCGAGTCGACTGTACAGGACTTCGACAAAGGATTTTTTAACCCTATCCGTACGCTCTGGGGTCATTTTGTACCTCCGGGGTAGTGTTCTTCACATCTTCACATTTTAGAATACCTCTCGTACGATCTCTTTGAAATTTTCAGTTTTCTAGAAAAATTTTGACAGACTGCTTTGCAAAGCGTACTGATTTTTTAACTGAAACACGTTGATTAAAGGCACAAAAAATATAAGTTTTCACTTACCACGGGCTCTCAAGCTATGGAAAAAACCGAACTTTGGGCGCCATTTTCTCACTAATCTAACCTCTGAAACAAGGCAACCTTCACCTCCTTCAATTACGGATATCTCCATTTCTATCCAAGATAAATGGGTATTTTTTTTCAGTGAAGGCAAGACAAATAAACAGGCTTTAAAACAATACCAATAACTCCATATGCCCAAAAATTGACGAGCGCCGGATTCCATCGCGTCATGACACAATTGCAGATAGAAACTAGATTACTTCTGCATTCCATGTCCCTCATTCATTCCAAAATACATGTGCACACTGAAAAACCAAAACGAAAATCGTAGATTTATTTAAACGTTTTTTTTATTATTGTCATGTATACAACCAAATTCTCTTCCTTTTCTAATCCAACCCTCCATAGTTGCTCGATCTATAGAATGTATAATATTCCAATACTAACAAAATCCTTTGACCTGCTGGTCTCAAAACAAGAGAAGAGAAGAAATGTAGGTCAACTGGACTGAGAAATACCTGTCCCTGTGGTTTTATGCACCCCGCATAATTTAGCAAAATTCGATCATTTTTTGCATAATTTCGGATTATTTTCCTTTATTTTTCTTTGTTAAAATTAACAGAATCGCATAATTTCACATTTTTTGGGCTCAGTTCGCATTAATTTCATAATTTTTTTCTGCATAAAACCGCGGGGACAGAAATAGAAACAACAAAATCAAAAGCCAACCGATGGCTGGAGTCAGCCTGAAAGTGAAAGCTTGACAGCTGTAAATGTACACTGTATGGAAATCTGTGATTGCTGTCTCCCTTTATCCAAACCAGTTGGGTTTGGAGTGTGAATAGTGAATATGCTTTTACTTTTACAAAACCCAGTCGTATAATTGTTTTTTGTATTTAGACATCCAAAAACAATCCAATCTGACCTGCTGAATTTGAGTAAAACGCTTCAAAATATAAAGTATTTAAAAAATCATCAAAGATATACAATATACAAGCAGTAAGTAGTAAAAATGTATATATATCACATGAACAAAAATGCAACAAATACAGCTGCTTTGTAGTAGTAGTAGTAGTAGTAGTAATAACATACATGATACAGTCAGGCACGGTCAATTCAAACATGTTGGGGACTGACAAAACTCTCCCCGTGGTTTTATGCACCCCGCATAATTTAGCAAAATTTGATCATTTTTCCCCCATAATTTCTGATTATTTTTCCTCTATCATTCTTTGTAAAAAAAAGTAACAGAATCGCATAATTTCACATTTTTGGGCCCAGTTTGCAAAATTTCAGAATTTTTCTTGCATAAAACGACGGGGACAGACAAATGTGTTGGACACACCCTATAATTCCTTGTTGATCACGGTGTGCGGGGGCGGGCCTGGTGGACTCGATACTCTCGATGACAAAGTGGCCATGGGTGTGTTGCTTTCATCATGATTGTGTAGATTTGAATTCAATACAATTGTGAGGAATAAATGATTTGATCAGGTTTTTCGAGATGAGCTGTTAGAAAAATCCGTACATGTAAAGATGTTTGAGAAAACAGTAGTGCCAATGCAAAGAAAATATATGGTCGCTTTTAAGCACAAGAAGGCTATCCCGATATATGCTGTTTTGAGAAAATCGAAGGTAAAGTTTTTGCCCCTTGTTCAGTTTCTTTAAAAGACAAGGAGAACTTTCTCTATAACCAAACAGATATACACGCAAATGAAACCAAACTTCTCCTATAGGTAGGGAAATGCCCACTTTTGGTGCAGGTCAAGATTTCTGGAAACCCCCAAAATCTGGGTTATCCCGCTTGTCCTTAAAAGCGACCATATATACTATATATAGCATAGCAGTTCACTCGGAGAATGGCAGACACCGATACTGTCACTGTACAAGCTATCCATGGTCCCCAATTTTGAGTGTTTGTGTTATCAGTATCAGTGTCCCACAGTATATATATATTATAATAATTATATAAATCAACAAATGTACAACTGAAACAACTATTTCACACAGTAAATTAACAAAAAAGGAAATCTATATTTATATATATATATTATTCCCCATCTCCTCCCCTACCTTTTTTTCTCTCTTCTGAAAGAAATGAAATTTAAGAAAGGAAGCTTTACACCCTCGCTGATCTCAGACAAACATTTGAAACAATCCAAGAAAAGAACCAACCCCCTTGATGAGAAAGGCACAAAAATGAAAGTTCACACAGGGCCCTGAGACAGGAAACGTGGCCAACCCCACTGATGCTACGCTACAAGAGAAGCTATACGGACCGACAGATGAACTGAGGAGGACGGCCCAATTTATGACAGATACCAGACTTCAAGTGTGATGCGATCGAGAAGAAGAAGAAGATGAAAGAAGTTCAAAATTACAATTACTGAGCATTTACACATTATCATTTGAGCAAAATTGTATTCCTTTGAGTTTAGTATAATTATCATTGCAAACCTGCAGCCGTCAACAGATCACAAATCCTGAATATATATATATATATACGGTATATATAAGTAGGAAGACGTATCCACAACACAGTTACATGAGATGTGACAATATAGTATAGTACCACATTGATTTCTTTCACCCCCCCCCCCCCAACTCCTTTCCTGCCCACCCAGCAGTTGAGTAATGAATGGGTACATATGTACCTGACTTCGAGTTGGGGAAGTAAAGGCAGCGTAGAAAGGAACTGGCTACCCTACCACATTATGTCGAAGGCCCAGGAAGTTGTCTCACTAACAAGGTAATTCCCAATGTCCGGATCGGATACAGGAGCAACTTAACTTTTGTTTTGTTTGTTTAGTATGGGATTTTACGGCACTCGCAACTGCATAAGGTCATATGAGCGCCAACTTAACTTTACCACATAGATCTATATGAAGTACTTGTGAATACTAGATCTAATGAATATAATCACTTGTCAACAAATTGCTCACTTTTCAGAGATGAAGAAAAATCCATTTTAGGAGAAAGTATTTTACGTATATTATAACTACATTATATATATCTGAGAAAGCATGGTGAAATCAGGCTCTCGTCAAAACAATGAAATCAAAGAAACCAACATTTTTCTGGGCATTAGGAAATTTTTTCCAAATTTTCTTTTTTTGGCTTAACACCTTAAATGTCCTATTAAAAACACATTTCTGTGTGGATGTTATAGAAAATCATTAAGTAAAGGCACACAAAAATGTAAGGACACTCAAGTTTTGGAAGTCATCAAACTTTGGCAGCCATTGTTCCAGCGCGTTGTGACACATGTTCATGATTTGGATAGCGCTTTACACAAAGCAAGCTTACTGGCTCAACTTTTTGTGTCTTTTTTTCTCTCTAGACCACTTCACTGCTATGAAATGGGTCATGGTTATATCACAAATGCTGTTTGGGTCTCCTGAAGTTTGGTCATCTGTCACAGTTCTACTGATCACATAATATGTAATATGAATATCATTATAATCATCATCTGTAGACCTTCATTTTTAGCTGCAGAAGTTCTATACGTAATTATGAATGACTGTAACAGTGATGATTATATATATTTTCAATTGAGTTTCTGAGTTAGGGGCTCTATGTGACGCTTGTAGTAATTGGAGCAATTTTCCCCGGCACAGCTATGTAGCTCATAGCCGGCAATGAAGGGGTTAACACTTTCCCGGCACAGCTATGATGAGGTTCATAGCCGGCAATGAAGGGGTTAACACTTTCCCGGCACAGCTATGATGAGGTTCATAGCCGGCAGTGAAGGGGTTAACACTTTCCCGGCCCAGCTGTGTAGCTCATAGCCGGCAGTGAAGGGGTTAACACTTTCCCGGCCCAGCTGTGTAGCTCATAGCCGGCAGTGAAGGGGTTAACACTTTCCCGGCACAGCTATGAGGTTCATAGCCGGCAGTGAAGGGGTTAACACTTTCCCGGCACAGCTATGTAGCTCACAGCAGGCAGTGAAGGGGTTAACACTTTCCCAGCACAGCTATGTAGCTCATAGCCGGCAGTGAAGGGGTTAACACTTTCCCGGCACAGCTATGAGGTTCATAGCCGGCGGTGAAGGGGTTAAGTACACCTTGGACAAAATAGTTGTGAGGTGACCAGCTGTATAGATGAGAAATCATTACATTTGTGCATTCACAGAACACTAAAACATAATATGTGTGAGGCAGCGTGGTGAATTCAGGCGCTCGTCAAAATAATCAAATTGAAGAAACTGGCTTTTTTTCTGCAGGTTTGGGAATTTTTATTGACTTTTTGAACACCTTTCATGCCCATTAAAGAACACATTTCTGGGCGGATTTTATTGAAAAACGTTGATTAAAGGCACAAAAAAAGATGTAAATTTTAGGTTTCAACGGACTCTCAAGCTTAGGAAATAACTAAAACTTTGGAGACCATTTTCTCGTTAATTTCACCTCTGAAACCAGGCGACCCCCACCTCCTTCAATCGCCAATATCTTGACTTGTATCCCAGATAAATGGATATTTTTTTCCACTGAACGCAAGGCACATGGACAGGCTATTAATACCAATAATTCCACATGCGCAAAAATTGACGAGCGTCTGATTCCACAACGTCGTAAGATATATATGGTAGCCTACGCAAACTATTCAGGCTGTAATGTTTCAAGAATGCAAACTCAAATTCATAATAATAATATATGTTTTCATGACATGAATACCCTCTTTACATTTACATGTTTTGAAATGAGGAGGTGTGATTTTTACCTGTGTAAACTGACAGGTTTTTAATTCAATTACTCCAATGTTGCAGACTGAACACTGAGAAAACGTTCGTTCTAAGTAGCTTAGTTTTAGTAAGAGTTTTACGGCACTTGCAACACAATAAGGTCATATAAGTGCCGAAGATTAGAGGTGTTACAAGAGAGTAACAAACACAAAAAAGGAGGAGGAAAGAGAAGGAAGATCGTTTTTGATAGGACAGAAGGAGCACACCACATGACCACAGCACCCGCTAACCACCTACAAAACGTCTATAAACATAAGTATGCTGGATATGCGAAAAGGGTAGCTTTCCTCGCTGCGATATAATGTCTTGGCAAAATTTTTCATAAATTGTCGTGTCGTTTTGGCATTTATGCTTGCGTTGGATGCCAAACTCACAAGGAGAATTACGTTGGCTAAGTACAAATGTGTAAGCTGTCATGTGATACATAACAACAGTAAATCTTGAGAAAAATTTTACAACGTCAAATTATGCGCTTATTCAATAATTTTCAAACAGTGCTGAAGATTAGAAGTGTTACAAGAGAGTAACAAACATAAAATAGAAACACTTCTAAGTAGCTGGTTCAATTTTAGCAAATACATGTATAAGTAAACTTCAGACTGAACACTGAGAACACTCTTGCTTTTAGTAAAAGTAACTTATGTCATTACGCAGACAGGAACACTTCTTTGGCAGGACCCAATGTGTTCAAAATACAAACAACACGATTGGCTGAATGTACAAAAACAGAAACAACCATAACAAGCAAAAAGCACAGCATTGATTATCCCACTCCCCCCAAAAAACAACAACAACAACAACAACAAACAATAAAAAAAAACCAAGAAAAAGCAAAACAAAAAAACAACAACTCCCAGAACCCCGCCCTCCAACCAGCCAAAAATGAATCCCCAAACCAACGTCTCCCCCCCCCCCCCCCCCCCCAAAAAAAAAAGTAAAAATCCCTCCCAAAAAAGTTAAAACATTTTTTAAAAACAAAAGTCAAATGTGACAAATGCTTATTCTACTTTAGGCAAATTATGAACAGACTTTAAAATGATATAAAAAAATCAATAGGCTACATGTAAAAAAAAATTGGCGAGCGCCCGATTCCACCTCGTCATGACACAGATATGATTGGTTAAAAGCTGCACAAGACAGGTGACTGCCCTCCCTTAGTATTGCAGGTGGTCCGTGTCTCGATCCGGTTGTGGATACTCCTGGATCGTTGCCCGCGGGGCCATCTTTGACCGCAGCGCCATCTGGGGATACACATACACAAGGGAACTCTGTTAGATAATACGTTAGTTTTTTAGTTTTAGTCGAGGTTTTACGGCACTTGCAACACAATAAGGTTATATAAGTGCCGGAGATTTGTGGAGTTACAAGAGAGTAACAAACATAAAAAAGAAGGAAGAGAGACAGAGACGATAGATGTTTGATACTATCAATGATAGGAAAGAAAAAGCAAACCACACAAGAGCACCCGCCAACCACCCACTTTGAATTAGTTTTGAGTAAATTTGAGTACAGAGAAGCACAATGATACAAAAACAGTCACTTTTAGTTCTAAAGCTGGGGGAAAAACGAAAGATGGACAGATAGACACAATAAAGATGAAGAAAAGAAGTTAGGATTTACCAGTGACACACTCCAACTTTTAACCAACCACCCATCTGGAGTAAAAAATGAAGTTTTAGTAGAGGTTTTACGGTGCTCGCAACTGCACAAGGTCATATGAGCGCCAGAAGGTTAGAGGTGTTACAAGAGAGCAACAAACATAAAAAAGAAGGAGGGGAGATAAGGACGATAGATGTTTGAGAGGAAAGAAGGTGCAAACCACACCAGAGCACCCACCAACCACCCATTAACTCATTTCTATTTCAGTTTAGATTTAGTAAGTGTTTTACGACACTTGCAACACAATAAGGTCATATTAGTGCTGAAGATTAGAGGTGTTACAAGAGAGTAACAAACACACAAAAAAAAAGAAGGAGGAGGAGAGATAAAGACGATAGATGTTTGATAGGAAAGAAGAAGCAAACCACATCAAAGCACCCGCCAACCACCCACTGAGACAGTCTTTGGAGCCCAACAAAAATGTATAGAAGAATTTCAAAGAGAAAAATATCTGTCACATACACTAGAAGAATATTATTAATGTACTTCTGGTTTTTTTAAAAATTGTTAAACTGCATTTTTCTTTCAACAATTTTTATTTCAAACACTCTCAAATTACTAGTCAAGACACATCACCACACAGACACCTCTGTATTACTACAGGGTACTGTTTGACATATCTACTACTAACAAATTGTTGAAGTAAAATGCTTTCTTTACAGTACAGATACACACACTATATATGTGAAGCGTGCTGATAAAACGAGTTACTTCTCGGATTCAAGCCCTATGGAAATAAACACAGCACGCTTATACGTGAAGCTTTTAAGTATGAAATAATAAAGGGTAGCGATATTTCGACAGCATGCCGTCTGAAAATCGTAGTTGATATTTCCACGGAATGCTGCATGCTATCTGAACATCGGAAGTGACACCTATACGGTATGCCGTCTTGAGTCTAAAGATCGGAATTGATATTTCGTCGACGGCATAGGCTCTGCTTGAAGTGTATCAATGAAAGAATTGTGTTTGTTTTCCAGGCGACGAGTCGGGTGATCATACCTACCCGACCCGACCCGATCCCATCCGCAAATGGGCACCCTACTGTTGGAAAAAAACCCAGTCTTCTCTCCATTTTGCTTGCACAAAATAAATTGTGCATCTCTCACTCTCGTTACAATCACACAAAACATTTCATTATTGTCCATAATGTACAAAATGATAGAAAAGGATAAACATTGTTAACTAAACATACTGGTATCTTAAATTGTATCTTTATAATATTGCATTACTTATGGAAAAGAGATTATCGGCTTTATTATAAATAGTCCGGACGTTCTGATTGGCAGAATTTATGTGCCGTGGAATTATCACTTCCGATTTTTCGACGGCCTGCCGTATAAATATCCACTTCCAATAATAAAAGCCATCTTATACTTAAGGAGTATATGGAATCAATACAAAAGCACCAAATTTGACAGTGGTGTCGATTTTGGCCAATATGTCCTTTTGTGGATTGCAAGAAGTAACTCATTTTGTCAGCACGCTTCACACACATATATATAAAGGAAATCTATAATTACTATTATCATATGTTTGACAACGTGACCATTTTGAATATTACATTCCACCAAGAAAATGTTTTAAAGCGAAAAAAAAAAAGAAATAAGGAAGAAGAAAACGTATTTATTGACATTGGGACAAATTAGTCTCACCCTGAAAACAACATGCACATGTGTATATTAATGTATATTTTTGGTTCCGTTAGTTTTTATATTAAACGAATAAATTTATTAACATACCCTGGCTTTTCATTCAACATATTCTGGCAAGAAAAAGCTTAGCAAAATGAAACAAACCAAAAAAATGAAACAAATAAACAAATATATTGTATCTTATAATTGACAAATTATTGACAACAATACGGAATAATTATCTTTACAAGATGGAAACATTAAATGTTTCGTACAGCAGAAGAAATAATGCTTGCCATAAAGTAAACACAGGACAACAGATTTTGTTCTGGTATTTTTCAAAAGATACAGAAACTCTGGGATCACAAAACGTGCTATGAGGTCATTTGCTGATATATATATATATATATATAATATATAATATGTGTGTGTGTGTGATGCTTCTTGCAAGAACAGGGAATGTGTCGGAAAACTGAGTTTTGAGCTAGAAACCAAAACATGAGACTCCGTCATCCCAGTTCGAGTTTGAGTAATCTACAACATTGTGTTTTCCAACATTATTTACTCCATTTTCCCTAGTCGTCTTTCATTTGTTTATTGGAGTAAAGAGAAGCACATCGAGACATTAATAGCCTTTTATTTAATGCTGGGAAAAAGTAAGAAAGACAGACACAAAAATACAGAAGGAGGGTAGGGAAGTAGGACCTACAAGTGGCACCCTCCAACCCCCCACTTTCCCTAAGTAATTTACTGAAATGAGGTCTATGATGTATAAATGCAGTCAAACCACACATCTGTGAAATTCAAAGTGAACAATACACAGAAGAGCCCTTATATCTCTGAAAATTCAAAGTGAACAAAACCAAGAACAGTCCTTATATCTGTGAAATTCAAAGTGAACAATACCCAAAAGAGTCCCTATACCCAGGAGTCCCTGCAACGGGATGGTAGAAATAATTCAGAATGTCCAGGTGCTGAAACATTCTCAATTCTGGCAGGGTGCCTCACACTCACACACTTTATCACTAGTAAAAGAGTCCCAAATACGCCACATTCATGCCCAGGCATCATCGATATATGTATATATATATATATTATATTATTATTTTAAACAGAACAAAATGCTATTTTAAAAAATACAAAAGGAAATAGGGTAAAAGTTTGTTTCCATCAATGAGACCTGTTGATCATGTTATTCAAAAGCACACTTTAGTGTGTGTGTGTTTATGTATGTGTGTGTGTGTGGGAGTGTGTGTGTGTTTATGTATGTGTGTGTGTATGTGTGTTTATGTATGTGTGTGTGTGTGGGAGTGTGTGTGTGTGTGTGTGTGTGTGTGTTTATGTATCTGTGTGTGTGTATGTGTGTGTGTGTATGTGTGTGTGTGTGTGTGTGTGTGTGTGTTTGTGTATAAACACCCCTCCAACAAAAAAAAAAATGCCAGGCAAAACCACTTTTACAAGAGAGATTTCTCCTCAAATCAGTAAAATAAATGCATCTGAGAATTGCAGAACAGCTGAGACAGAAAACAATAAAGGAGTACCGAAACGGTACAGACAACATCAACAACTACTGTGCACCAGGCACTATATAATCTCTGGTCATAACAGACTTGCTCGTTCGGGGAGGAGCAAACAAGAAACATGAGGAAATACATATATTTATTCAGTAGAGGAAATAATATGTATAAAATAATATTCATTCAGTGCAGTGAGCAAGCGAGACCTAGATACACAGGAGAAACAGACGTTTTAGTTTTTAGTTTTAGTAAGAGTTTTATACACTGGCAACAGCATAAGGTCATATAAGTGCCCAAAGATTAGAGGTGTTACAAGAGAGTAACAAACACAAAAAAAGAAGGAGGAGAGATAAGGACGACAGATGTTTGATAGGAAAGAAGAAGCAAACCACACTGGAGCACCCGCCAACCACCCACCACAGACGTTTGTCCGTTAGTTTGGAGAAAAGGTACGCATATATTATCAACACGATAACACTCACTCGGTGATATTAAATCGCAAGACAAACAGAAAGGAAGAAAATCCGAGGGAAAGAAAAGAAGTAGGATCTACAAGGCTGTCCCCGAGGTTTTATGCACCCCGCATAATTTAACAAAATTTGATCATTTTTTTCATAATTTCTGCTTATTTTCCTTTACCATTCTTCATTAAAATTACCAGAATCTAATAATTTCACCTTTTTGGGCTCATTTTGCATAATTTCAGAATTTATTTTTTGCATAAAACCACGGGGACAGACAAGGGCCACCATGCTCCAGCCATCGAAAAAAAGAAGGAACAAAAAATGTATCGACTCCTATTTCAAACTACACGTAGGGGCCTGCTTGATCACCAATGGACAACATCTCTGCCGTCATTTTTTCAAAAATACAGTACATGCAGTCTTTACAATTTTACAGTACAGCCA